CGTCATCTAAGGTTTCAGAGTTCTTTCTAAAATAATCATCATCTAACAAGCACATCTTCATTTATTTGTGCACAGAGTAACCAACCAAAATTAATTTATGTTAGTGCAACTACATATAATATTTAAAACTTTATGTAATCCACGGGATACGAAACGACGTAGCACCTTAACTGATGAGAATTAATTTTAGAATAATGAAGATTTTGTTATCCTTGGTCCCTACGCTATTTGTTTAGGTGATGATTAAACTGAGATGGAGGAAGTATTATATTATTTCCATAATTCTTGAAATTCAAAATAGCATTTATTAGTAGGTAGTGACCAACATGAACTTTTTTTAAGTTGTAGATGGTCCGTTTCAATTTATTTTCTTGATAAAGTAATTTTGAAGTTAACACAAGTTGTATTCAATATGAGTCTCAATTTTATTTTATTCTTTTGCCTTCATTAATAAATCCATCAAGAATTGATAAATATGATGCTGTACTCGATCATCTTGTATTCTCCATCTTGCATCTTATATTTATTGAATTTGAAAATTAAAATTAATAATTAGAAATTAGTCCTGTTCTAATCTTATTTGTTACTGTAATTCGGTTTAGATGGATGACCAGATTTAATCACTATTTTTCTTATTAACTAGAACTTTTCCTACAGTAATGATGTTAATTTCTTCTTCTAATCTAAGTTGTTACAATTTGATCTCACACAGATAGATGAATAGATTTGTTTGTTATTTGTCCAATTAACATGAAAATTTTCCAGAGCATTTAAATGATAAATGTTGTAATATTGTCTATTTTCAATCCATTGTTGTGAGCATGCATTTCTATCAAATCAATGTGTTTTCATTACTGCTCGATCAACATGGCCCTAGCTTGGAGCTACTGATCAATATTGGGAGGTTTTAATAGTGGCAGATCTCATGGCCATGCCTCATCTTGGGGAGCGCATTTTCAGACGATAACAATAATTCGATCGCACGCATTAACTAGCTAGCACGATGAAAATCCATGGACCAGAACAACAACTTGCATATTGTTATTCCTCGAAAGAACAGCAATATTTGCGTTGCCATATGCGCACGCGCGTCTGGTACCGCGCCACACGCATAAAAGCCGCCACATCGTGGAAGCCCAACCGATCGACAATTCGACATGGGTGACTCGCGTGTCCACCTCCAAAATCGGCATATACTACGAACGAGACCACAACATGTGGCCGCGGTGATAAAATCATAAAACCCGAAAGGGGAAACACAGATTTGTTTGTAACTGGTACTCACTCAGTTTTATACGTTTCATATTAAAGTAGTTTCGATTTTGTTTTTGGTGAATAGCTAATATGGTCCCTAGAGTTTTTACTTCGGGCCCAGTTTAGTCCTTGAGATTTCAAATCATCCAAACAAATCGTCCAAATTAATTATTTGGATTAATATAGTCCTTAGACAAAAAAAAATGCAACGTGAGCAAGACAAGTCATCCTCGTGCAGCGGTATGAATAAAATGACCATTCTATCCTTATATACCATATAAAAAAGAAAAAATAAGAAGATAAATGTTTCACACGTATATGATTGTTTTAGAATTGTCACTTACGATTGCTGCAGCCATGCAGTGATCGTGTAAATTCCTTTGTCGGCCACCCTCCGCAACAATGTTGACCCTAAGCTAGCCTGTTATTTTTTTCTGTTTATGTCTTTTCTTTCTTTTCTATATGTTATATAAGGGAAGAATGGTCATTTTATCCATGCTGTTGCATGCGAGGATGACTTCGCAATTGGCATGCTCACTTGGCATTTTTTGTGGGTCCAAGGACTATATTAACCCAAATAATTAATTTAGAGGATTTGTTTGGACGATTTGAAATATCGAGAAATAAATTGAGCCTAAAGCGAAACTTCGGCCTAAAGCGAAACTTCAGGGACCATGTTGGCTATTCACCCTTTTGTTTTTATTCAAACTTCTTTAGAGGTTTAACCATATTTATTGAGTAACTTATATATACACAACATCAAATTAGGTTTATTAAATATCACATTTAATATATTTTAATTCTATGTTTTTTTTAAAATGTTGCTATATTTTCTTATAAATCAAAGTTACTTACAATATAAAAGGAATGGAGTAAGTTCCAAAGTATATTGCGTTCCTTTGGGAAGTTTTGGGCTTTTCCGGCATGGAAAACATTGCGGTAACTAGTGCATGATTAATTAAATGTTAATTATCAGAAATCTAAAAATATATATATTTGATTTTTTTAAAGAAAAACTTTTGCATAGAGAGTTATTTTTTTAAAAAAAAATAAGTGAATTGCACATTGGGCTACCTTTTATTACCAAAGTTACACACTGGACTAGGAACAAGTAATATTTTCACTTTATACTCCCTTGTGTTTGGTAGCTAAAATTAGCATGCCAGGTGAGGTGATATGATTAGTTTAATTTGGTCATTAGCATACTGAAGTCTTCATCTTCTCCATCTGTGTTTGGGACTGAGTTCCCTGGTGAAAGCAACCTACATATATTTGAGCCCAAGAAACATTGCCTATTCTAGTCCCTAGCTGACGAAGCGCTGTTGTACTGCTCCCAAGCTCGAGCTCAGGCACCAGCAACTTCAGCTCTATCACCATGTGCTTCATCTCAGCTTGAGCACCTGAAGCGGTGCTGAACCTGTGATGATCTGCTACTCCTCCCTCTAGATTGGATAGGGTGACTAGAGTCTGGGAAGCAGTCGTACTTCTACCTCCTCTTGATCAGTGATAGCATAACGAAAATAGGTTGGGAGAGAGGATAATAGCAGCAAAGAAAGGGGCAACGGCGATGGGCTGCCTGACTTGGAGAAGATGAGGGGGTGGTGTGGAGTGAAACAAATGGCAAGGTTATGTGGTCCAAAGTGAAAATCCTGGCTAAGACCCTGTCTAAGCTGCAACAAGGGTAATAATACATGACACAAACTGCAATTTACTCTAAAAAAATTCACTACTTAGAAGATCAGAATTTGTGCTCATTAATCAAGGGAATAGCCCATCCGAAAAGCTCAAAAGAAATGCAGATTTAACTGAGAAGGGACTATCTATAAAACTTTCGTGAGTTTTTCAGTGAAAAACATACAAATGTAGCTATAGTATAATTGTAGCATAGTTACATTATAACTGCTATAGTTGCATGTAACTCAATGCAAACGGTATGTCATTAATAAAAAAATGGTTATTGGGTGTGGTTGCTAAATGCAAAGTACTGGTTCCTGAGGTTGTGGTATCAATCTCTGTTACCTGCAAGCGCAAAGATTTTTATTTTTTTTCCCCTTCATCTGTATGCACGAACTCCAAGCAATCTGACGCTTCACAGACAGTAAGTTCTGGGTGAGAAAAACTTGCGCGAGAAATTTAACTAACTCTGGTTAAGAAATTTTACAGTACTTGAAAAAGTAATTTATATTTACCAAAATTTTATAATAAGGATTTCAGTACCTTAATTAAGGTAACTTCTCCCTACCTTCTCAATATCCTTGTCTACTTGAGTGACACAACAGTGGCGATGTGAAAAAGAAGATTTGAAATTCGTTTTTGTTCCTAACACACTGCGAACCTTTTTTTTTTAGGAAAGCCATTCGGCTGGAATTTGGCAAATGGGCACCAACATGCAACTGTTGGAATAAGTCTACTTGCCATCCCTCAACTTTACGTCGAGTTTGTTTGAAATCCCTAATTCTCAATACCGGAAATATTGACCGCTTAAGTATTCAAAACCATGCAACTTAGGTCCCATAGCAATATAAATCCTACTTTACCTTGTTTTTGCTGGCATAACAGATCTCCGGGCCTACTTGTCAGGCATGGTGCCCCTCATCCCAGCCCCGCATCGCCTCCACCACTGCGGCCTTGCACCACCACCGCCAGAACATCCCCTTCGCCCTGCACCACTGCTGCCGTTATCGCTTCCCGCACCTGACAAGCTCCCCTTTGCCCCCGCCCCTCCACATCATCCGACCAACTCTACCAGCCATTCCACCCGCAGCCATTCTACCACAAGGAGGTGAAGGCCGACAAAGGCGCGACCGGCGAGATCAAGGCGGGAGGCAGACGCCGAGGACGGCGCGGCTGGCGAGGTCAAGGCGGCGCACGGGGAGGTGGACGCCAAGGAAGGTGTGACCAACGAGGTCAAGGCGAGGTGCGGGGAGGCGGACGATGAGGACGGCGGCCAGCAGCATCAAAGATGAGGGCAAGGAAAGGGGTCGTTGGAACGTGCGGGTGTGGGGAAACTGAGGGTGAGGATGGCGCCACCACAAGGTCGAGGTGGATGATGGCAAGTCCACACTGCCGACCGCCGCTATCGTCGTCTCTCCCGCCACCCGTGCTACTCAGGAGAGAGGAGTCGAGGCTACCGCTCGAGCTCGGTGATACCAGGCTCCGCCCTTCCCCTCTCTAGCCAATGCCGCACCCAGGAGACTGGAGCCGTCGCGTTGCGTTGACTCCACACTCCGGCCAGCAACATGAATCTGCAGCAACAGATTCAATCGACGAGGACAGAGCAGCATGAGGCATCTGCAAGCGACGCGGGATGGCAGGAGCCCAGCCGTTTTCGTCAGCCGCCTCCCCTCCCTCTCTCGCCTCTACCTCCCTTGCAAGGAGGTCGGCGAGCTCGGAAGGGTGAGTCGGCCGTCTCCCCCCTCCCTCCTAGGCTCGCCAGCCTCTCCCCCACTCTCTCGTCGGTCGCCTCCCTCTCTTGGGAATAAAAGAGAAGGAACAAAAGGGACCTGACAAGCAAGCCCCACATTTTTTTTTTATTTTTGCTGACTAGGATGTCACGTCTGTGAAACTAAACATTCATACTGCTATGGGACTCAAATTACACGGTTTTGTATAGTTTAGGGGTGAAGATTTTTGGTATTAGAGTTAAGGGATATCAAACAAACTCTACGTAAAGATGAGGGATGGTAAGTGCACTTATTCCGCAACTGTTTGATCCATCTCGTCACTTCTCTCATTGCGAGTTGGACTGCTTCTTAACCTGTTTTGGATTGGCCGTGAATCGAGTTAGGCCGCGGGCCACAATACAAAGGGAAAGACTTGACATGGGCCGTTACAACATGAATCAGCTGAACAGCCCACGAACAGCTGCTCGGTTACAACATGGGCCTTCACGACGGAAGCAAACGGGCCGCGGCGGCCGCCTTCCACCCGGCCTCTTCCAAGAAGGCCATGAACCCCTCGCACTCCGCCACGATGGCCTTGTCCAGCCCGCTCCGCGTCACCGGCGCGAAGAACAGCCACGACCCCGTCCCCGTCACGAACGCCAGCGTCATCGCCGTCGCCACCGCCCGCCGCGGCGCCCTCCACCTCCACGCGCGACGACGAGCTTCTTCCAGCCACCACCGCTCCGCCACCACGCACGCGCCGTGGAGCGCGAAGAACGCGGTCACCTCGCCCGTGGTGCAGCCCGGGTCGAGGGTGATGTAGTAGAACAGCACCTCGTGCATGAGCCCCGACACGAGGAACGCCGCGGCCACGCCCGCCGCGGCGCCGTGGCGGGCGCGCACGGGGAGGTACACGCTCGGGCGGAGCACGGCGGGGACCATGAGGTTCCACCTCCGCCCCCAGAAGTCGGCGAGCGACGTGGCGAGGTAGGGCCGGTCGAACTGCGGCTCCAGCTCCGCGCCGAGCACCACGCGCGCGGCCGCCGCGGCGGACGCCAGGAAGAGCTCCAGCATCAGGTAGACGTGCGCGCCGTCGAACGCCACCACCGCGTACGCCGGCATCCCCTCCCGGTAGCACCTGGCCGAGACGAGCGCCGCGAAGACGGCCGCCTTGGCCGCGTAGGACAGCACGAACGCCGGAGCGAGACGCCGGGAGGAGGAGGAGGTGGAGGTGGTGGGTTTCCGCTTCTCGTCGTCCACGACCTTGATGGGCAGCGCGGCGCAGGCGGCGAAGCGGACGAGCGGGAGCGACGGGTGGAGCGGCCCGCGTCCCGCGGCGAGGAGGAGGAGCTTGAAGGCGCAGAGCCAGACGAGGGAGAAGGCGGAGATGGTGCGGAGGTGGATGGAGGCGAAGGCGAAGGGGAGGAACGGGAGGAGGGCGAGCACCGGGAGGAGCGCGGCGAGGCGCGGGACGCCCGGGGCCAGGCGCGCGGTGGCGAAGCGCGCGTACGCCATGGCCGCGGCCGCGGCGGCCGAGACCGCGGCGAGGGCGCGCAGCTCGGACGCCATGCCGATGCCGCCGCGGCGACCACGCGCGGTGGCTACCGGCGGGAGATCTGGATCGAGCACACAGCACAGGGATGATCTGATGTCAAATGGGCGATGGATTAAAACTATAGAATCTGTGATTAACAGGAGGATTAAAGAAAGGTAATTGCTATCTGCACTGCCAGTCTGACGCACTGTTCACTGTAGACATGTGGCCTCTTTTTTTAAAAAAAAAAAAACTTTAAATATGCAACATATTTTGACAAAATATGAACCGTATCAGAAGATTGTTCATGTCTACCATCCTTGGCTATCTTGTCGGCTACCCTGTTGTCTGTTGATAATCCATTTGACTTGCATCAAACTTTCAGGGTCTGACCGTCTGAGACTCCAATGTCATGGTTCAGCATCGAAGTTTCTTATTGTTAAAGATGGTACCTGCAAAGTCAAGAAATTTTGCGATCTCCATTGCCATCAGAGCCAGTAATTCTGCCTACAAAGAAGATTGAGCTATCAAGATAGTACTAGCTTTTATAAAGAGCGCATTATGAGAGTTTGGCATGTGGAAAAATATTGTGCTAAACCATTCACCCAAGCAGCATCCACATAACACCTATTCCCATTCCCCCTAGGAATATCTGGCAATGTCCTGCAAGGTAGATCCTCCTCCAGTGCACTATGATTTATTTACCTCCTCCTATGTATCTTGATTTACCTGTTGAGTTGAGCATTTGGCATACGTAGACATGTGGGCTCGAATATGTTCAACCACATAAATCATGTACCAGTGAGTACACTACTCTATTCATTTCAATATTATATAAGTTGACCTTTTTAACTAATCAACATTTTTTAGTTTGATTAAATTTATAGAAAAATATAACAATATTTTCAACATAAAACAAACATACTACAAAAATATATTACATGTTAATAAAACTGATTTGTTGTTGTAGATGTTAATTTTGTTTTATAAACTTAGTTAAATTTGAAAAAGTTAAAGTAAGAAAAATGTCAAGACTACTTATAATATGAAACGAGGGTAATATATTTGTAATGAACACCTGCAAATCATGCAATTATCTCAGCATAATTCGCCATAAGAGTTAAAAGACAACACTAAAGTGCTATACTGTTTTGCTGGCATTTTGTTCTTGCCAACGATTACTGCCTGTTTCTATACATTGTAGCATCTTGAGGACACCATCACAGCACACAAAATCACAAATTAGGCATCCCCGGAGCCCTTCACTCCTGTGACATGACATGGCTCTGCTACATTTTTCTTCCTTATCTCGGCTCGAGCTCAGTGATGGACACCTCGTTGGGCGACATGGGCGCCGACCTGCCGGACGACGGCAAGGTGCCGACGAACGACCCCGAGTACGACCCCGTGCCGCCGCCGTCGTCGCCGCCGCCCTTCCGGATGTAGAACGCCGGCCTGGACGGTGCCTTGAGCGACACCGTGCCGCTGCTCAGCATCACGTTCACCGCCGACATGGCCGGCCTGCTCGCCGGGTTCTCCTGCACGCAGAGCAGCCCGACGTGGATGCACCTCGCGATCTCGCCGCCCGCCGCGCGCTCGCCCATGGACCGGTCCACCATCTCCATGATGGTTCCCATGGTCCAGTGCTCCCATATCTGCATCGTCGTCAGAGATCACCATTTTTTTAACTGAATTGTCACTGCGAGAAATGTAATGTTGGTTTTGCTCAATTGAGCTAAGAAGTTGGTGGTGCTCACAATGCTTAGGAGATCGCCGGATTGCTCGCTGTAGTAGGAGCCGCTGTTCCTCCTCCCCGTGACGATCTCCAGGACCAGGACGCCGAAGCTGAACACGTCTGACTTAACGGAGTAGTGCCCACGCATCGCGTACTCTGGCGCCATGTATCCACTGCAGATAAATTAAGAACATGGTTAACTTTGACGATATCTGATGCACAATCTTTGATCTGTCTGTCATGGGTGTTGATGGATGACTGGATGTGCTTACTATGTCCCGACAACGCGATTTGTGACGTCCTGTGTTTGGTCGCCTCCGAAGAGCCTTGCCAAGCCGAAGTCTGAAATCTTGGGGTTGTAATCAGAGTCTAGAAGAACATTGCTTGCCTTAAGGTCCCGATGAACGATCTTCAGCTGGGAATCTTCATGGAGATACTGCATTCCTCGAGCGACTCCGTTTATTATTTTCAGCCTTCTTCCCCAGTCTAGCAGACTGCTTTTCTCAGCATCTGTCTCATGAAAATGAGAAGCATCAGGGGACATGAATTACTTGTGCAAATTAATGTTGACAAATTTTTAGAATGCACGGAGGGGAAATGCACCAAAAAGAATGGTATCCAAGCTTCTATTGGGCATGTATTCATAGACAAGCATCCTCTCATGCTCTTCTAGACAAACACCGACCAAACGGACAAGATTCTTGTGCTGGAGCTTGGCAACCAAAACCAGCTCATTTTTCAGCTCCCCCATTCCTTGCACAGAGCTTTGTGAGAGCCTCTTTACTGCTATCTCTTCACCATGTGGTAGGGATCCCTGCACAAATGAATATATATACCTGTTATCTGGCGCAGGTTCTACTTACTTTTGTTGCGATAAAGATGCTAGAAGCCTATCAATACCTTATAAACAACACCAAATCCTCCTTCACCAAGTTTGTTATTTTCGGAGAAGTTATCTGTTGCGATTCGGAGTGTTGATAGATCAAGAAAAAGTGACTCAATACTCTCAAAGTCCTCCGAACGAGATGCGGCTGGCATAGATCAATTATAAAGTGAACACAGAACAAATGAATCATTTAATTTGTTACCACATGATTTTAAGTGCTCAGACTTCAGGGGACTCACATCGGAGCGGTCCTGGTGGAGGTGTTTTTTCTGGTCTTCTCCTCCTCCAGAAACAAAAGCCAATTACAGTGACTGCCAGTATGGCAGCAACTATAGGCATTACAATTGCAAGAACTTTACCTGCTCCGTTTCTCCTTTTCCCTGTAGATTATACTCCGTATTACACATGGGAAAAAAGTAGTATGGTTGTGGTGAAAGATTCTCAAGACACGGTTAGCAGAAAGCAAACCAGGAGGAACTGATGATGAGTTCACACTTGAAAAGTAAGATAGCGATTGCAGATTCTTTGAAATTTTCCATGTGATAGAGATTGTGTGAAATATTTGCCTCCGAAAACTCAAATTTTGTGTAAAAACTGCCATTTGGTGTTGAACAGTAAGCAACTAGCAAGGATAGCCTTTCAGATAAGCTAACCCAGCATTCTGCAAGATCATTATTGCACGCCTATTTTTATTTTGGGTCTAAAATGGCATTCCAGATAGGTAATGAATCATGATATCACATTGGCAGTTTGGCACTGGCCTATCAATGTTATGCATTATGGCCTATCAATGTTATGCATTATGGTCATAACACTCACTGTTAGCTTTTCTTGACTAGTGCTCCACTCTAACTCCCATTGCTTGAGTGAAATGCATAAACTAACTAATGTTAATAACAATATCTAGTCGAAACTACAAACTACCAATTTGACAATCTAAAGTTGGTAACAGCTGTATGCCTGTGTTTATATCCCCATATATAAACATGACTACAAGTCATAGCTTCTAGATTGCCATTGCACATGTGGTGCTGCCTGCAGTTACTGAATCTAGAACAGTAAGCAGAAGACGAAAAGATAGACAACTGTTCCCAAACAAACAGAAAAATACATGACACAAGATTCTTCTCAGAAAAGATGGTGTAAATTTTCAGAGTAAGAAGAGAGTGCCTTTTTTTTTCCGTGCATTCACTTAACTACTAGCTGATCAAACAACTGAAAGTTAGGCGACTGACAGATAATTGAATCACATACAGAGAAACCACACGTATTACTAGTATCATATTGCACAATTTTGTCTTGTGGATTAGGTTGATTTCGATATTATATTCCCTAAATAAAAATGTCTCTAAGAAATTAGTCGGTGGAAAAAGTAGACTTAGTCAACTGTATGATAGGAGTACTAGTATACACTAGTACGGAATAGTAGTGAACTATACGCTAACTAGCATGACAGCAACAGGTCTGGATCGAATCATGGAAAATCTAGGCATTCATCTAGTTAATACCAAGAGAAATTCGGACGTTTCTTGCTTAAACTATGGATTAGTTGGCGTGATGAAAATTCTGAACTGTACTTAACCTAAAAGGGAAAATTGAAACCATGCCATTATAATTTTGCAAAATTAAAACCATGCCGTCCTGACCCACATGTCATTGACTCATGTGGATCCTACATGTCATTGAGATACCGATGGTATATCTCAAACTTTGCAAAATTATAATGGCATTAGTTAAGCTATCATACGTCCAGCATCACACTAGGTACAATAATTTTCAGGGAACAAAAGATGGAAGCAGAGTACTCCTAATTAATATGCATAGTAGTAAAGTCAGCTAAGCTCACCTCCTGTAGTGCCCGGCACAGCAGGTGGCTTCCCTGCCGGCGCCGGCGCCGGCGATGGCGACGGCGCGACGGCCTCGGCTTGCAGCTGCAGCATGGAAGGGACGTTGTAGAACGAGTACAGCTCGACCCGCATGTTGCAGCGCGCGCCGACGCTCCTGGCGCCCTGCGTGTTGGGCTCGAACGTCTGCCACCACCGCGCCACCATGGCGCCGAGGCACAGCCCGCACTGCGCCGGCGACAGGTCCGGCGAGCACTGCGCCATGGCGTAGATCTTGGGGAACTGGGCGTCGAACCCGACCATCACCCCCGTCGCGAACAGCCTGGACGACGCGTTGGTGTTGCCCGCCGCGTACCTGGCCGTGGCGTTGAGGAGGCCCGTCACCGCGCGGTCGTAGCGGCCGACGTCGCCGGAGACGGTCCCGGTGTTGTAGAGGTCGACGACGCCGGAGTTGTCGGCGGAGGAGAGGAAGTCGAGGTTGGAGAAGCGGAGGTAGCAGCTGTCGTAGACGATGGACACCTCCTTGCGGTAGGGGCACAGCTGCTGCGCGTCCTGGAAGATGGTGCCGACGCAGTCGGCGCAGGCCGAGGCGTTGATGTCGCCGCGGCAGAGCGCGAGCGCGTAGACGGCGTCCGGCACGGCGCCGACGGCGCCCGAGGCGAAGAGGCGGCCGCCGCCGGTGCCGGAGGAGACGTTCTTGTGGAGCGCCGCGGCGAGCTGCTTGAGGTTGGCTTGGTAGGTGCTGTTCGCCGTGTAGTTGCCGTTCTCCCCGCATATCTCCCACGGCTGGCCGGCGATCAGCGCCGGGAGCGCCGCGAGGAGAAGCAGCGCGGCATGGACACGGAGGAGGAGGACTGATCCGCGGCACATGGCGGAGCAGAGAGCTAGCTGCAGTGCAGAGGAAGAAGAGAAGAAGAAGAAGAAGGTGGTTTGCTCTTGCTCTCGAATCACTCTGCTCTCTCTGCCTCACTCTCCTCAGATTGTTTTACTGTTTGATTTCGTCGTGTGTTGACTTTGACCTGTGCGAGTCTCGGTGGGCCCACCTGAGCCTCCTGCCAAACATCGTCATTAAGAGCCTTTGTCCAATATAGCAAGAACTGAACAAATAACATCGTGGGAATAACAAATAAGGACGAGTCCAGCAAGGATGATGACAACAAAGAAAACAAATGCAGGTCTTGATGCCTTGATGGTGATGCAGCTCAGCCTTGTCCATCGCATACCAAACAACACAAACGCGCCCCTTCCACACCAGTTTTCCGCATGATGTTCCCCCGTTCTCATCCTCGGTACCATGCGCCTTCTTCCATACAATGATACAAATCCCGTGGCGACTCTTAAGTCTTAACAAACCTTTAGAGATAGCTTAAGCGAAGCTGATATATTGTACTCCAGTAGTCTGTAGAGCATAATACATCCTAAAAAATGATTTGTATACAATGATCAGTGCGCACTCATATTTACATGTACAGTACACGGGAGATGCAAACAAGATATCAAAGAAGCCAAACTGAAGCTTTCCAGAGCTACTAGTGCCAGGCAGCCAGTGCATTCAGACTGCACAGCACATGAGTGTTTTGTAGTGCGAACAAGTAATGGTATCCCCAGAATGGTCAGCCTATGACAGGGTTTTCCATGTATCATACATATCTCAATAAGAACACTTCTGTTTGGTGCAGCTAACTAGTAGCATGACTAGCACATAATTGAACGAGTCAAACTCAGTATACGTGGCACATCTTTCCTGATTCATCCATTAACAGAACTGAACACCTGCTACCAGCAGTGTTTTCCTTACCGTTTGGATGGGGGCTACCATAACCCCGCAGTAAGGCGGTTACTGAAAACCCTGTGAAATTCATCGTCAAACATTTGAATTCAAAAATTCGGTGATTTCGCGGTTTGGTCACGGTTACCGCATGGTTTGGCGCTGTAACCACGATATTTGCATGGTAGCCGTGATTTGTGTAGCAGAACAGAACAATGCTACAAAAAATTGAAAAACACTTAAATGTGTATAGAAATTAGAGATAATTAGAAAAATATATATGATATTTTCAAACCTACCTTTTGGATGTAAAATACAAAAATTCGGCATGATATTTTCTATATTTTGAACTTCAAAGCAATTCAACAATTCATAGCATAACAATTCAACAATCACACATTTCAAAGCATAATGATGTCCACATGTAGCTCAAACAATAGAGTTCACAATATAATGTCCATGGCTATAGATACGGTAGTTCATTACGACAAGAAACACAAATATAGAAGTTCTAGTTCGAAACGAAGGATATGACATACTGACATAGTACATAGCTAGGTGTTCCACCGATTGTATACCATGATGTACTTCTATGTGGACATGAGCTGTGTGAGTGTAGCAACCTCACGTTGTATTTCTACTAACTTTGACCTGTCCATGATGCTGTTGATTGCCACTGACCGTACAATTGAGGATACCACTGGGGCTCTTGCCACTCATACACCCATGTAGGAGGAGGATAATCAGAAGCTTAGGGATGGTTTTATACGCACATTGGATATCCATTTTCAATGCTAGTGTTAACAACGGAATTTTGCATCAGACTCGGAGAAGAAGGAGCAAGATCGAGTCGGTTTTGAAGTCGGGTAGCGTATCGGCTGGGTATCATATCGGCTAGAAACAAAGTTGAGTTTGGTCAAGCCGATAACGCAAGTGGCTGATTGTGCCGATATGCTATGAGTTGGGCTTGGCATGAGCCTGGGTTGGAATAACTGTCATCGCCAATTAGAGATAGAGCTCGATTATGACAATTGTATCGATTAATTAGGATATTTGAGTAGGTTTGATAGAGATTGGTAATAGACCGCCGTATGGTCTTGTTTTATTTTATCTTTGGGAAAGTTTAAGTCGTGTCCATAATGGACCCAATTTTGTCCTCGGGGTATAAATATGAACCCCATACCACTTTAATACGGGAGACAATCCAATACAACTTCGGCGCATCACCACCCTTTTTGTTCTTTTCAGTGAGTTATCTCGACAAGAGGTAACCCGTCTCGATGGCTTGTGCTATCGGGGCTATTATGTCATTTTAGATGTTTGTCCTTTTATCGTAACTATCTGCTATCATATGTCTTAATTAATCTAGCTTTCGTATCTCAATTTAGTCATATCTCGCTTTAGGGTTCCTGCCAGTATCGACTAAATTGCATTGGATTAACTAAGGCATCTACAATCTTAAAAAGTGGTTAATTCCTTGATTGTTTAGACTTTAGATTTCTCTACTTACTTTGAGATACATCATCCCTAGTCTTGTTTAGAACCCTAAAAACTAACCTAGAATTAATCATAATTAGAGATAGTATCGGAGTTTCAGCCGATCTTATCTAATATACATGCTGCTTGTACTAGTTTTATGTATATTTGCCATTTATATAGATAGATCATCCTATATAACCATATCAAGTTAGATCAGTATCGGTTGGGTTATCTAAATTATTAACTGATCATGATTTGATATGTTTATATAGATTGATTTGTTTATATAAGTTTGTACTAGAGTATTAGCTGGTATATTATCTTTATCTATCTATCTTGTTCTAAATATTGTTTCATCGACTATTCATATAGTATCGTCCGACTCATACTTGACAAACTCATTTGATGATACTACAGCCGATGAGGCATATTTAAGGTTTATGCTTAATTCATACATCAATCCATAGCCGATCTGGTCCAACTATATCAGCTAGGATCACTAACGATATGTCATCGGCCTATCAGCCGATCAGCTATCGGCAACTTTGCTTGTTGTTTCCTTGCTGGTTGCAGAATCAAACCAGCTGGCACGCCCTTAGCACACTCGAGGCAAGCTTTGCACCTGCACTGGAGTTAAGCAGATCTCCCAAGCCACTGTGTTTCTCGTCAACAGCTAGAGATATTGGATAAGCTATAGCTATGTTATGGTGTGTAAAACTGTTGTTGCTGTTGTCACCCTCTCGAGTAACGTTAGTTCGTTGAGAACTTGGAACACCATGATCCTTGTCCTTAGTAGCGTAAGTGAAGTTAGCCTCATCTGCAAATTAAATAGTACGAACAAGATTAATCGGTCGTGAATTGCAAGGTGAAGGTTAAAATAATAAGTAAAGAATTAAATCAGGGTGTGGTCACCTGACATTGTTGTGTGACCACTAGAAGGCGCATCAGTGGCGCCTTGGCCTCCTTGACCACCATTGTCTCCGTCATTTGTATCAATTCTTAAGCTACTATCATTGGACTATTGGTAGTCTGGGCTCCCTTGAGTCTCTTCGTTGCTATCAATGCTCCTCGGCCGTGTTGATGAACCTTTGGCCTTCACTTTTTTAGATGGAGGTGGTTTTGGCCGCTATTGAGTCTTTCTTTTTCCAATATGACTGTCACATATTCATATCAGCCTACTCAGCAATAATAGACGCCCTTGTGGTCTTGCGAAGGTCAGTCAAGTCCACTAGGTTGGCTACAGGTGGACTAGGTATGGGGGATTCACTCTCAGTTGAGTCTTCATCTAGTTCAGGGCAAGAATTGGACCAAACATTGTCCATTCGGTCTCTAATTTAATTGTTAGTGTCGTAGAATGATAGGTCCGCTGGACTTTGAAAGGGATCATCATCGTCCTTCCTAACTTGGCATTTGTTTGTTGATTTCGACTGCGAAGGTTATATTTGACATAGACAAGCTTGTTGAGCTTGCTGTGTGTAACTTTGTAACGAATCTTTGTCTGTACGAATGCAAATATGCTACAATTCCGATCATATTAACTTGAAGAGTTATACTGACCAACCAAACGCAACACAAATTTCTTCAAATTCGGCGTGTCTGATGTAAACATAGACCACCATTGTGCTGCAAATGCCGACTAACATGTCATTTTATAATTCTAGATACGTCGAAAGCATTAGGACTTTTGATATTGCATTATCAAAAGCATACATCAAACAAAACGGAGGTCTTTCTTGCAAGCGTTAGATCTTTCTTGCAAGCGTCCTCCCAAATTCGTCACTCTTACGCCGATACATCTCAACCTCCAACAAAACGGCAGCGGCCATGTCCATGTTCATCATCCACTCGAAGGCCTGACGGAGGTCTTGGAAGACGGTCACACTGTATGCGCAGTGCGTCCAAGGGTTCAATGCCGTAGCTACAAAACATCTACAAATTTTCTTTGCACTCTCAATCACCATATCATGGTTTGGCATTTTTTTTCAACATCCTTAAGCATCAAATTAATTGTGTGAGCCATGCAAGGTTGCCACACAATAGTTGGGTACTCTTGCTGCAGTAGTATGCAAGCCTTCTTGTAAATTGACCCATTGTCAATGATAAACTACACGACATGTTGAGGATGTACTTCGTTTACCACATTCCTTATCTCCTACATTAGTAAATCACAAAATAAAAATAAGTCCATCACCCGAAACTTGATAACATATGACGTAAATTTCTTGCATCAAAATTGTCACCTTCTATATGAAGTTAGCATCCTAGCTTTGGCCCGTCGCATCAATGGACTTGTGAAGAAACATTATTCCATTGCAATATATCAAAAAGTTGATGATAGTCATACCCGTCAGTCGAGTCCAGGAATCACACATTAGATTAACACCATACTCATCAAAATCACGCTTAAACCTCTCGAATTGCTTTTTACGTCCTTTTCTGTAGTATCAAGGTACTTGCCATCTATCTCCCAACCAGTCGGAGAAGGTATGTTTTTACCTAGAATTAACATATCAAATAATTAGTCTCTAATCTGTTAGGAAAATATGAAGCCGTATTAAATGCATGCGTATCCCACTTCTGTCTCTCGAATGGCACTGACAAGGTATGGATTATCGGTATTTCTTACAGGGATGCCAGAGGTAAAGAAGAACCTTACCCAGGACTAACCAGTCACCTCTCTGTCATGATTTCCCTTCCTTGTGAAGAATCATGTGTCAATGCATAGTAAGGATGTGTGGGATCACGGGAAGAACATACCAACAGGATTTCGTTGTAAGTATTGTCATCAGAAAAGGAGCGGTGGTGGGGCAACTTGACTTAAAATTCACTTTTCTAATGAGCCCTTCCCTTTGCTAGCCAAGTGAATTTTAAGTCAAGTTGCCCCACCACCGCTCCTTTTCTGATGACAATACTTACAACGAAAGCATGGTGGTATGTTCTCCCCATGCTCCCACACATCCCTACTATGCATTGACATAGGATTCTTCACAAAGAAGGGAAACCAAGGTAGGGAGGTGATTGGTGAGTCCAAGATAAGTTTCTTTTTTTATCTCCGGTATCCTTGCAAGAAATGCCGATAATCCAAACTTCGTCAGCACCGTATGAGAGACACAGAAGTGGGGTACATATGCATTTAATATGGATTTACATTTTTCTAACAGATTAGAGACTAATTATTTGGTATGTTAATTATAGGTGAAAAGTGAAAACATAACTTCTCCAACTGGTAGGGAGATAGATGGCAAGTACCTTGATGCTACAGAGAAGGTACGTAAAGAAGCAATTCAAGAGGTTTAAGCGTGATTTTGCTGAGTATGGTGTTACTCTAATGTGTGATTCCTCAACTCGACCAACGGGTATGGTTGTCATCAACTTTTTGATATATTGCAATGGAATAATGTTTTTTCACAAGTCCATTGATGCAACGGGCCAAAGCCAGAATGCTAACTTCATATAGAAGGTGACGACATTGATGCAGTAAATTTACCCCATATGTTATCAAGTTTAGGGTAATGGACTTATGTTTATTTTGTAATTTTCTAATGCAAGAGATAAGGAAGGTGGTACGTGAAGTAGGCCCTCAACATGTCGTGCAAATTATCACTGACAATAGGTCAAACTATAAAAAGGTTTGCAGGCTACTGCGGCAAGAGTACCCAACTATTGTGTGGCAACCTTGTGTAGCTCACACAATTAACTTGATTCTTAAGGAGGTTGGAAAAATGCCAGATCATGACATGGTGATTCAGAGTGCTAGGAAAATTTGCAGATGGTTATACAATCATTCGAAGCTTCATGCTATGGTGACAACAACTATAGGTGGTGAATTGGTTAAGTGGAATGCTACACGGTTCGGCACAAACTACATGTTCCTTCAGAGTTTCCTTAGGAAGCGAGATCAGTTCATGAAGTGCATGGCTTCCTCTAGCTTCATGCAAAGCGAATTCAGTGGCACAGCGGAAGGTAGATATGCACACACCTACCTATCTAGCAAGGGGTGGTGGGAAAACATAGAGGCAATAACGACCCAAGCAATGTACTCCCTCCGCTTTGCTGACGAGGACAAGAACCCCAATTTGAGTGAGGTTCTTCTGAGATATCAATTGATTAAAATGGAGTATGTCAGTCTATTCGCGAGTGAAAGGGACTAGTACGCAGCTTACATGGATATTGTTGACAGAAGTTTGCACGACCTGACCAATGATACACTCATCAATGTTAGCAAGTAGCTAGCACTTATGTTCTTAACATAATCTTGTATTCATAGTAAATAACCCTTTACCTAACTTGTGCCATGTTTTGTAGCTGCAGCACTAAACCCTCGGATGCACTACGCGTACATTGCAAGTGCGACCGTCTTCCAAGACCTCCGTCAGGCCTTCGAGCGGATGACGAACATTGAAATGGTTGCTGCCACTTTGCTGGAGGTTGAGATGTATCGATGTAAGAGTAGCGAATTTGGGAGGCCGCTTGCAAGAAAGATGGTGATGGATGGGAAAAGTTGGCTTGGTATGTTTCAGATAATGCAACTATCAAAAGTCCGAATGCTTTCGACGTATTCAAAATTAAAATGACATGTTACTCGGCATTTGCAGCACAATGGCGGTCTATGTTTACATCGGGCATGCCGAATTTGAAGAAACTTGTGTTGCGTTTGATTGATCAGTGTTGCTCTTCAAGTGGATGTGAATGGAATTGGAGCACACTTGCATCCATACATACAATGATCCGTAACAAACTTACACACAACAAGCTCAACAAACTTGTCTATGTCAACTACAACCTTCGCCTTCAAATTCAGCAAACAAATACCCAAGTTAGGAAGGACGATGACGATCCCCTTCAAAGGCCAGCGGACCTATCATTCTACGACACTAACAATCAGATTAGCTACACGGTCAAGGAGTGTTGATAGCGATGAAGAGACTCAAGGGAGCCCAGACTATCAAGAGTCCGATGAAAGTAGCTCAAGAACTGATACAGATAACGGAGACGACGATGGTCAAGAAGGCCAAGGTGCCACTAATGTGACTTCTAGGGGTCACACAACAGTGTTAGATGACCACAACCTAATTCAATTCTTTACTTATTATTTCAACCTTCACCTTGCAATTCACGACCGATTAATCTTCTTCCTACTATTTGATTTGCAAGTGAGACTGACTTCACTCACGATGCTCGGGACCAAGATCATGGTGCTCCAAGCTCTCAATGAACTACCGTTACTCTGAGAGGCCAACAACAACAGCAGCTTGACACACCATAGCATAGCTATAGCTCATTCAGTGCCTTTAGCATTGAAATGTTGATATCCAATGTACGTGTACAACCGTCCTCAAGCTTCTGATTATCCTCCTACATGGGTGTATGAGTGGCAAGAGCCCAAGTGGTATGCTCAATTGTACGGTCAGTGGCAATCAACAGCATCATGGACAGGTCAAAGTTAGTAGGAATACAAGGCGAGGTTGCTACACTCACACAACTTGTTGCTCATGTCCACAGAGAAGTACAACATGGCATACAATCAGTGGAACACCTAGCTATGCACTATGTTAGTATGTCCTTATTTATATCCTTCGTTTCAAACTATTTTTATATTCGTGTTGCTTGTCATAATGAACTATCATATATGTAGTCATGGACATTATATTGTGAACTCTATTGTTTGAGCTACATGTGGACATCATTATGCTTTGAAATGGTTGTTGAATTGTTGTTGTTTAATTATCATGCTATGAATCGTTGAATTGCTTCAAAGTCCATAATATAGAAAAGGTCAGGCCGATTTTTTGCATTTTTCATCGAAAAGTTAGGTTTTAAAGTATCATATATAATCTTATAATTATCTCTAATTTCTACACATCTTAGTGTTTTTTCAATTTTTTTAGCATTATTATGTTCTACTATACAAATCACGGTTATCACGCAAATATTGCGGTTACCGCGCCAAACCGTGACCAAACCGTGAAACCGCCGAATTTTTGAATTCAAATGTTTTACGACGTATTTCACATGGTTTTTGGCGGTTACCGCTGTAACTGCCTTACCACGGGGATGCGATAACCCCTCTCCAAAAGGTAAGGGAAACTCTGCCCCCTCACCTCATGCCGACAGAGAGAACGAGAGGAGAGCCCTAGCCACACGGGAGATATTTTCTCCACTATTGGGCCTTAATGGGTCGGATAAACATTGCAACTTCAGGCCCATTACTTTATTTCTTTTTTTCCCATTTTCTAAACTACTTTCGGTTTTGCCCTCAAATGTGTTATCTTACTCTTTTTCAAAAAAAATTCTTCACCATCCGCCACTAAAAAGCAAGAACTACATCCATGATTCTTTTGGATTTTTTTCAGTTTTGTTGGAAATTTTGAATTTGGTCAAAATTCCCCAAACCCTACCGCCGGTAACCATTACTGTACACCCGTGGTAAGACCGGTTACCATGGTAACCGCGCGGTTAAAGGCGGTAAGGGAAACCCTGGCTACCAGTAACAAATATAGAAGTTACAACCCTAGATGGACAAACTTTGCAAAACCCACTGAACTATGAAAAAGTAGATAGTCAGTGCAGTACATACCAGAAATTAGTCAACGTAAAATATAGATATCGTAAGCATGGTTCAGTTACTGTAACAAAAGTAGCCAGTCACAAATAAGTGTCTCAGTGAAAAACTCAAAGATAATGAACTAGAACCTAAATTGGGAATAACCTAACTAACATTCATAGCAATCACAGGTGTGCATCAGATACTGAAAGAAGTTTAACAGAATCCCAATTTCAGGATATATATATATACCTTGCTAAGACCGATAAAACATTGGCGCTATTCCAACCCTGCATATCTGAACCTCAACAGCAGGTTCCGATTTTCCTATAAAATAACATGGTCAGCAGACAACCGAGTCAACTTCAGAAAAAAATTCAAGAATGGAGCAAAAGAACAGGCATGGATAATTACTGAACAGATGGGCCACATTGACTCACTAGTTGAGAGAAGTGGTAGAAGAAAAAATAATTTCTAACCAGAAGGAAAAGGCTTAAACTTCTTTATGCAACAGAGGATAAATCATCTAAGAAAATCATTCCAATAACACTAAATGCTTTGTGGTAGTTTAGGTACTGAAACCTACCAAATAGATTATCATAAATCCCAACTTATGGACCCTAAAAACACAGCTGGCCAGCTTAGGCTTGTTTGCCCAAACAGCGCAGGATCCACCTTTTCCCATGGGCAGATTAGGTAGGTGTGGATGATGATTCAGATGAGCATAGCTTCTCATTCTTGCTTGCCTAGTATTGGGGGGTTGTTATAGTGAATTATCTCTGGCATTTGTTGGTTTTTTTCAATGTTGTGGTTGGTTTTCTCATCAATTTGGTCATTGTTAAGGAAGTTTCTGAATTTAATTGTACATGTGGCTAATATTACTTCTTAAATGTGGCTAGGGATTCTTTGTTTTTCCTTTGCAGGGTTATATCCTCCATGGGGTTGAACGTGGCATGTCTCCCTTATGGGGTAATTTTCACAGTGCGCCAAATGTACACAGAATTAATGTAGCAAACCAGTCAAATAGACAAACATATATCAGGCATACCACCAAATTTCCCATTCTCTCTTTCTTTTGCAGGGAACCATTGTTTTCCATGAAGAAGAAAAGCTAGAGGGGTTTGAAACCTAGCAGGAGTTAGTTTGCCATAACTTAATCATCGCCACCTCAAAGATGCATAATGCGTTTATGGTGATACCCTGCATGTAACATTTCCCCTGGCACCAACATTGGCAGCTCCCTAAGTTGATATTTCCCTATCTGTTGACCTCAAGACTCAAGCCAAACTGCAGCACGCAACTGCATTGTGGGAAAATTGTGTTCAGATGAGATTCTCATGTCTCTTTCGTCATCTTCTTGTTACTATTGCTGTTTTTGTTGCCATTGTTAGGTGATAAGCAGTGACGCACGTAAAATAAAAGCACAGTGCTTCAACTTTAATTAGCATGCTGAAAGAACATTTTGTTCCAGCAGATGATATTTTCTTCCCTCACATGTGAATCTAAAACACAATCTATATGCATCAAAATACAATCCATAATATAATATTTACAGCCCCCTAAGACTTAGTATATAATAATGATTTTAAGAATATGTGCCTCACCAAAATGGCCAAATGATTTCAAGAGTAATCTAATAGATAATACCCATCAGCCAATTGCCAATACTAATATAAGGATCCAAGCTATCTACCATGAATTCTAAGAACCCAGCACCAGTTATTGTTTGAATGGCAACATTCCAATGTTACCTGCCAGTTTAGGCAACTATACTATATAGTCACAATCAAACCGAATCAACCATCTTCCTTACCATCTTTGAACAAAGCTAACCAACAAGTATACAAAATTTCCTAAACCGACCAAAATACAAGAAACGTTGTTGCCTTGACTGTAATTATTTCTCTATTCAACAATGCATAATTCTCCCACCAAGCAGTTTTGAGCAATAAGCTAGTTCAAATTTACTGCAACTGTAATCCAATAATTATGTGCGCAACATTAATAAACAAAAAAAGTTCAGAATCAATAGATAACCTGCTTAAGCACAAGGAGATTGCTCTTCTCCACCTCCCTGGCAAGCTTCTCCAGCCTCCTGAGCATTCCTGCATACATGCCATCCATCTCCGCCGCCTGCCCCGCCACGGAGCCCAGGATCCCCTGCAGCTTCCCTAGCCCGAACCCATCCACCACCCCATCCACCGCATTCTGCTCCCCAATGGTGTGCGCGTCGCCTGCTGCCGCCGACGACGACGAGGAGTGCTGTGCAAGCGGCAGCCACGGCATCGGAGAGTCGGGAGCGAAGGAGTGGTACTGGTCCCGGAAGACGGGGCCGACATTGACGACATGGAGCGAGGTCGGGACGAGGCGGGAGCCGATGAGGAGGAAGGCGCGGTGGTCGTAGGAGTGGGTAGAGAGGTTGGGGGAGGAAGGGGAGACGAGGAGGAAGAGGAGGGGGTGGGCGAGCGCGAGGGATTTGGAGAGGGAGTGGGCGAGGGAGAGCTCGCGCATGGAGGGGCGGAGGGCGGTGCGGCGGCGGGAGGAGAAGAAGCCGATCGAGGCGGGGCCGGCGGCGGCGGCGGAGGCGGAGGGGTGGAAGCGACCGAGGGGATCGGAGAGGGAGGAGGGGCGGGAGAGGGAGGAATGGCCGGAGATGGAGAGGGAGATGGCGGGGGCGGACTGGGCCGGCGCGTGGTCGTCGTAGTCGGAGAGGGAAGGGGGCGGAGCCGGGGTGGTTGAGGCGCGCCCGGAGAGGAGGCCGTCGCAGTCGCCGTCGGCCATACCGCAGCGCTGGAGGAGCGCCGCGAGAGCCGCGCCGGAGATGGAGATCTTGGTCGCCGCCGGAGCGGCGTCGTCGCCGACGGCCATCGGCGGTGGCTTTGAGAATCGAGAGGAGTTTGTTCCTTCTTCGGTCTTACACTTCCCTGTGCGGCTCTGCCCAGTGCCCCCTGCTTGTCTGGCAGCAACGAGGCGTAAACCAGATGAAACCCGCTCATTGCTACGGGAATTTAGTATAATAACAACAAAAATAATAACGTGTAAGATAGCTAGATAATATCAGATTAAGTAAATTAATATGGTTTGTGATAATTTAAATTTAAATAGTATGTAGAATAGTGATTCAAACGTAAAAAGTAAGGTAGTATGACTTTATAGAAGAAGAAAAGTAGGAAAATAGTTTGAACCGTAGATTAATCATCTAAAGGCTAAGGCCCTCTTTGTTTAGGCTTAGACTTATTGGCTTAGACTTTTAAGTTAGCTTATTGGCTTATATGATTTATAAGCCGATGGATTTAATGTCTTAAATTTAATGGTGGAGTCATGCATCTACCTCATATAAGCCAAAAAAGCTTCTCTAACCTAGCTTTTGGCTTAATAGTGTCAGAATGTCTTATGGCTTCAGAAAAGCCAAACAAAAAAGCCGCTTATTTGTTTAGGCTTGGACTTTTCGGCTTATAAGTTTGGCTTATAAGTCTAAACAAAGAGGGCCTAAAAACAATTGATGTGATATGACTTAATTAGAGGGAAAAGGGAGAAAAATAATTTGTACCATAAATTAATCGTTTAAGCACTAACTAAATGAGTATGAACCATATACTTATATAGGATATACATTGAAACATTATGTGAATTATGTTGGATGATAATTTAACATGTTTGTATTTGAAAATCTCTTAAATTATAAAAACTATAAAAATATAGCATGTTTGCATGATGTTTAAATGTGATGATTGTTAGTGGATGATGATATGGCATATTATTAATTAGTGAATGATGATGTGGCATCTTGTTAGTGGATGATGATGTGGCATCTTTGCATGTTAAGTTTAAGAAGTTAGTGGGGGATAACTTAGTAAGATAGGATTCAGCCCATAGCTGCACATTAATTCGACCCATCACCCATCAGTGAGCAAGTATTCAGCCCAAAATCAAGCATAATTCGGTCCATATATAATCTATATTTCTAGATACTTCTAAAGCTGGCTGGAGACCCAGCCAGCTGATTGGACCACGTGTCCTTCCTCATCTTGCAGATAAATTCCGACAGCTAACGGAGAAGTCGCAGGTTCCTCAACCAATCTAATCTCTTCTAGAATTGTCACGTACATACGCTTAACGGTGTCCGTCCGCCATTTTATGCTGGGCCAAATGGTCTCCAATAGAGCCCATTAAATAGATGGATGCTATATATTTATTTAACTTTTTTTTTAGAAAACTAACAAAGCCATTACGAGCGTATGCACTGGATCGACCCAATTATGTGTTCCCCTGATAATTAGAGTTTGCACGTTGAACATCGCCTCCTCCTCCCTGGGCTACTTTGCAGCTCATGCATGAGCAGGTAGAAAATAGAAATAGGAGGAAATAAATAGTACTAGAAAAAAATACATATATTTTTGTAAAATATTTGGATAAAAATATTTCTATATTATAAAAACAATAATCATACAAAACTAGATGATAGGGATAATGTGAAAGATTGGATCGGGTGATAATGTGGCCAACAATCACTTTCAAACAGCGTGGTAACCCTGGGTACTAAAAAGATAATATAGGATTCGGTTTAAAAACTTCAATATTTAAAAATCTGACTAATATTTTTTTTATAAAAAATAGTGTTACGTATGTGGTATCATTAAATTTGTATTATTTTCACGTAATATTAAGTTCGTAGTTACTGAGAGTGCATTATGCAATACATAAACTGTTTTAATATAAAATTTATGTATAAAATCAAGAGCCACAAAAATAGCAATACTAAAAAAAAATCAATGTCTGTTTTATTATGTATTATTGAGTCATATAAATACGGTTCTACTCTGTTAAAAAAGTTTTAGAATGATAATATATCTATTGCAAATGCAGCAAAAATCAACGACAAAAATATATTTTTGACACTTTACTGAAGTTCAATTTTTACACACATTTATGGGCTAACTAGCAAGCGCGCCAATAGACGCGCTGATTTTCTAGTTTTAAGTTAATTCAGCCTAAACGTGGGTACGAGTTCATCCAAAAAGTGGGCGTAGGTTAAGCCTAAAGGTGATCATAAATTTGGCCCAAATTTGCACGTCAATAAACTAGGCAAAAGGGTCCACTCTAACTCCTTCAAAATATAGGTCGGATCATATTCATATCGCTTATCTGTATCCCTCAAATTGTTAAAACCAGAGAAATAATTCCTAAGACAATATTGAGAGGTGGTGCTGGCCGACATGGCACATTAAATTAGAAATATTTTGTGGAGCCCACATGTCATCTCACTCTACCTCACTTCTCTCTCCTTCCTCTCTCCCCCATATCTCCCTCTCCTCGCTCTTCCCCCTCTAGTAGTGGCAAGGGAGCTTGAGCTCCCAATGGAAGCGACAATGGCGAGTGAACCCCGTCGAGCTCTAGCTCACCGTCCATCCATGCCACTCTCCTCTTCTTCCTTTGCATTTCCCCTCGCGCTCTGTCCCACACCGCGATGACACGCTGGTGATACCCGCACCAGAGGTGAATAGGACGTGGCATCCTCACCAACCACCGTACGGTCAACCTAGCCATCATTCCAACCAAGCTCAATCACTAATGATCTCGATCTCGGCGGCACATGGCAGATCGGATCAGGGCAGTTGGTTTCTTGATCCCGTCGGTTCTGTAGATCAGGGCAACAGATAGTAGAGACGTTGGCTAACCAGATCGAGGCATAAGGCAGTGGGAGAGCATCAGAAGGGTGGTGCCGACGAGGAGGGCAATGACATAGGAGTAGCACCAGCCACTAATCGATGAAAGCTTTGATCTTTTCTTTCTTGCTCCCTCGATGGAGCTCAAGCTCAGCCTCAGCATGCATCTTCCCAACCATGAAACTAGCTAGCCAAGAAGGAGATGGCTACTGGCAGGACCACGGAAGCAATCATTAAATCTTACTAAGATTTGGTTGATCGGGGCGTGATGGTGAGGCAGAAGGAGGGGGGGTCAGTGTGGTGTTGCAGGATTAGCGAGAAGTTCGCCGATGGCCTAGTAGAGTTCTAGGACCGGTACATGCTCGTTGCAGTAGAAAATGCAAAGCGAGAAGCCGCCACTCACCAGCCACCATGCCCATAGGACAATAGGAGGAAGAGAGGGGAGAGAAAGGAGCCACCACTGGCTATCATCGGTCACTACACTAATACGTGGACCCATGTTGACTCAGCAAGTTGAACTAGCTCAACGTGCCACATTAGTGAAAACCTAATGCTGTTTTAGGAGTTATTTTGTACCTGTTTTAACAGTTGGAGCCTCGAGGAAATCATTATACCTGTTTTGCGGTCGAGAAATATGAATCAGATCCGACCTATAGGAGTGAGTCAAGTGGACCTTCTCCATTCACCAGAGCAGCGCTACTGCGCTAGTAATGTAAGCCCAAATTTTCTGTGAGTAGGGCCCAAACGTGTGAACAAATTTGTCCCAAATAGCATTTCAGCCCAACCATGCACGTCAGTTGGGCTAAAAGTGTGCGTTCATCGGCCTGTAAAGGATGCACATAAATTCGGGTCAGTTCGGCCCCATATCTCCGCGTCAATTCGATGAGCAGCGCGCGGGGTGGGCGGTGTCATGAGGTGAAAGAGAAACCGATGAGTGCGGGAACGGCGGCGGCGGAGGGGGGATCGGCGATTGATGGGAGGAATTGCCGTCGTGGTCGGAGGGAGCGGCCGAAGAGAGGCCGTCGCAGTCGCCGCCGGTGACCATCTCACAGCGTGACAGCGCCGGAGCAGCGTCTTCGTCGCCGGCGGCCATCGCCGGTGACTTCGAGAATCAGCAGCAGCAACAAGGAACGCACGTCTCCCATCCCTTGTGTTTTACTGAAGACAGAATTTTTTTTCCATTGACTGTATCGCTTCAAATGCATTTCTGAATACTTGCAATTATCATTTGATTAAAATCAAAATCAAAACATTTGAGATCAACATAGGAATAATAACAAACAGGCCTAACACCCCCAAAAGTCATCACAACTTTGAGGTCTCTGTAAGAAACAGCAAAGAGTAAACTAGGTTCTTAAATGTGGTTTGTGATTGCTGGAATGGTGAACCCAGCCAGACCCACATCTGCTTCAGTAAAATCCTCAAACAGGTAGGAAAAAACTGAACTGAAGCTCAACGATGTCAGTTAATAATCACAGTTCTATCAAATATTCATTCATGGAATTCTCATCTTGTTTAGTACCAAACTGATTTTTGCATCAGATTTTTGCAGTATCAACAAAATAGCTCAACATTGAACGGTTTTCTAGTTCATGCAAAAGATTAGGGTAAGAGCTTATGTATGTCTACAGCTCTAAATTCAGCCAAAAGAAGAGCCTTCTAAGTTCTTTAACTATCTGTTTGTTGTTCCCTTGTCAGAAAGCTAACTAAATTCACAGCGTCGATATTGAGAGTCAGAGAACAATGGCCGAGCAGTAGCACCTCCTGCCAATTGACCTCGACTCGGTAGTCACCCAACCACACCCTTCCTTGTAGCGTTCCACCTGACAAATCGGCCAACACCAAGGCTTAATTATCAGTCACAATACATGAGAGTTGTACAGGAAAAGCTGGTGCTTAATGACCGTAAAAAAATTGATGATCATCTGAAATGCAGCAGATAATAGCAAGAGTGGCATGGTAACAAATGATATATGCAGTAGAGACAGGTGCCAATACAGTTGTGCCTCAAAATAAAAGAACTGGCAACTAAGTACAAGATTTGACATTTGATTTTTTTTTTTTTGGCGGGGATAAATATTTGATACTCCCTCCGTTTCACAATGTAAGACTTTCTAGCATTGCCCATATTCATTTAGATGCTAATAAATCTAGACATATGCATATGTTTAGATTCATTAACATTTATATGTATGTGGGCAATGCTAGAAAGTCTTACATTGTGAAACGGAGGAAGTAGTTGTCAATTAAGTTGAATATTGATGTAATGTAGGTGGTATGGGCATGGTAAGAAATTTGCATCTTGGAGTAACACCTACCACATCCAAGATTGCATCTCCTTCACCTTTCACCCCACCAAAAGCGAAGATCGAGCCACCAAGTACAGCTGAAGAATGATATCCTCTGTTGTAGTTCATGGGTTCAGCCATCACCCATGATGGCATCCTTGGCTCATACAACTCGACAGTAGCCACCATTGTTTTAGCCTCAGCGTCATAACCGCCAATTGAGAATCTGAACAAAAACGAACAACAAAAATTACATCAAAAGAACAGAAGGTAATATACACCAGAGGGATTCAATCTTCAGGTACACATTCTACAATCTTTTGTTGTAGAGGTCAGGAGTTTTATAAATGGTTCCATTATCTTAAAAAGGAAAGACAACCTTTTTTAAGAGAACATTCTGCAACCTTTAGTTGGTTATTTTGAAGTATAAAGAAAGAACTAAAAACTTACATCTTGTCATCAAGCACTGCCAGTGTATGACAACCTTTTCCTGTACTCAACTTTGGGAGTCTTTTCCAGCTAGGCTCCCGAGGATCAAGTCTCTCAGCAGAGCTGGTAACACAGCATTTGTTAGCATAAAAAGAAATTCTGAGATGCTTCTCATTTTAATGAAACAATAATTTCCCTTGCATAAGAATAGGCTAATGATAGTCCACATTTACAGTTTTACACTAAGCCATAGGCCACTGCATCAGCTCTAAGACATTTGTAAGTGTCTTTTAGAAAACAAGTACTACTCGTTCGTTTATTGTATCTGCACCAATTCAAAACGGAACAAATCAAGTACTAAGTACAAGCACAAAAGGACATCACCTAAGATATTGAACACCGTTGAAGCCTCCAACTGCATAAATTGCACCGTTAAGTTCCACGCCTGCTAGAGCAAAGCGCTGATAAACCAAGCAGGAGATGTCAATCAAACAAAAGAATTCATCACACAGTATGGAGATTTAAGGCTCAGAAGCAAATATTTTCCGAAGACAATATTATAGAAAACTGAAGTACAATTCTTAATTAGTACACAAAAATGAATAACTTGTTGCCTCATTACAGAAGTACGAATTTTCATGGAGAAATTGTTGTCTCATTACACAAGTATGACTTTTCCTGAAGTAAATGATTGATTTTTTCCTATAATTTTTTGTTTCCTAAATAAATTTCCATTAATTCTATTAAGAGCTTCACTACTCCATGAGCACAAATCTTTTAGGTTTAAACAAAATGAGTGGAGTAGAGAGTGACTAATACCTTATCCAGCATAGACTGATTTTTAATCCACTTTCCATAAGCAGGATCAAATACTTCAACGTCAGAGAAACACTCATTTCCATCTCCACCACCATATGCATAGATTTTTCCATTGAAGCTAACTGCAGCAAGGCTCCCTTTATCATGAGTAAATGATGGGCATGTGGTCCAATCATCACGTCTTCGGTCATAACAGTCGACTTCATGAAAAAGTCAAATGCAGGATTAGGAAAGAACATAAATCGGAGAGCTTGTGAGGAAACAGAACAAAGAATTCAGTAAGTAACCTGTATCAAACCAGCAGACTCCATCACCACCACCAAGAACAAATATCTTGCCATCTAATGCAACAGTTGAGGCATATGACTTTCCAACAGCCATTGATTTGAGAGGTGTTAGTACGTCCAATGAAGGGGAAAAAGAGTCTAGTGATGGCAAATGTGAGAAGCCATCAAAACCACCAACTAGATAAATGACATCTTCTGAACCCAAACATTGTTCAACAAACTGGCTAAGGGAATCATCAAGGGTTAAAGGATCTATCTTTGAATTCAATGTCTTCACCGTGCCCTTGAGCTCCACAACTCTTTTTAGTAACCTCTCGTTCACACCTTGTAAGTATTTGAGTTCTTTATTGGACCAAGCCTGCATTTTTAACATAACATAAATTCAACCACCAAGGAAGATTAATTCTCTAGGACTTCCAAGTTTTAGTTGAGAATATATTATATTCATCAACTGACTACAGCAAAGTTAATTTAAAATATAATTATTAGGTATAAATTAACTAGATGTGAGACCGATTTTATAAGCATAATAGCAAAATCATAGACTACTTTGATTTCTAGCAAGCTGGTAGGTAAAAAGCACTGCAAACATATTTTAGATTTTCCCTTTTAGTACACATAACAAATTTAGTCATTCTAGGCTGCAAAAATTAGCTATTGTCGATGAAAGCAAATCTTAAACACATGCAACCAAGTTTAGCATATGTAAAGTAATATACAATGATTTACTCAACTTGACAGTTCATGTTTTATTCTATTCATTCCTACCTTTTTTTCCCTTTTTTGTGCTAAAGGTATATTATATTAACACAACTCTACAATTTCCTTAGACTTCTCACTTATTTTATGCATATGGTACACAATTCATAACTTTAAGATTGCAATCTTAGTATGATGGGTTAATGGCATTTCAAAAGAGACCTGCTTCTTCTCCATGATCGCTATCCGCTCATATAACTCTTTGACTATATCTACCAACTGCACAAACAAAACTAATGTGAGAAATTTGGAATAGATAGGCAAAAGCTGAACATGTTAACAAGATTGAATGAATACACACAAAAAAACAAGGATGATAATGAGAGATGCCACTATGTGCAAAGTTATAACCTTGACTTCTGTACAGGACTCTGAGTCCAATGAGTGCATCAGCAACTTAGAATGCCCCCAGGAGAACTGATCTACTTCAGAATCTAAGTTTTCTGGCAAATCATCTTGTACATCCTTACAGCTATACGCATCAATACTTTCAGTTTCAGTAGCATTGGCATAAAAAGTAGACTTCCTCTGCTGGACAGACAACATCTTGAGCTTTTCTAGTACCCCTTTAAAGCTAAGCTTATCCTGCTGACCAGACTGTTCTTGTTGCTGCTGCTGCTGTTGTTGTTGCACTTCAACCTCCTTACCCGATAGTGCATACTCCTCACTCTCTGGGGTTGTGTCTCCACAATCCAGATCATCAAAACCATTGACATGTTCATTACCTGAGCTAGCATGCTCTGCATCCACATGGACCACATCTCCTGTTCTAACTTGCTCAAATTTGTTATTGTTTACCACATCCGCATATGACTTTACAATCTTCTCAGATTTGAGACCATTATTCCCCGCATACACTGGTGCCCATGACGATCTCACATGCTCATCAGCAGGTTGTGCAACAGGAGGCGACCAGCCATTGTTGGTAGAAGGTGAAGGGGTAAACATATCCATCAAAGCACGTGTTTGTGCATGATCCAATTCAAACTGGAAAAAATGAAGCTTCTGGCCAGGAGCGCCAGGCATCCTCTGGTAGTAGTTGGCTAGAATAGCACCTCTAAACTGACTTTCTGCTAGTGGAACACACCACACTTTGATCCGCATGGCAACCTAAACCGGCAAAAAAGGACATTCATGTTGGAGTCGTTTCATTGAGATTTAGCAAGAAGGCAGCTTCCAAAGATACAAAGATCAGGGATTGTACCTGAGCAGGATAGCTGGTCTTTCCCTTGCCATCTTGTAACCATGCATTTGATTCAGGACAGAACTTGCCATTGCTCGCAGCTTCATAAATACCATATAGTTTGCGGTCATCGTAATTGAACAGGAACAGAGGTAGGCCTTCCTTGATATTTTGTACATAGGAGAGATGTGTTCTTGGCAAGCCTGAAACATGGCACAAATATAGCTACTAAGTTGGTGGATTACCTAGCAAGTTGCAATCCTTTGAAAGGTGGAGATATTTATCTTACTCACAGGAAGAAATGAATGTGTCAATTTTATATGGCTAAGTTTTGCAAATAGATATCTTATGCAAAGAGTTTGAATTAAGAAAGACAAGAACGTACCGAAAAGTTGCCGTGAGTGACACTCTGCGATGGTATTGTTTGTGCAGCCAAATATCACAGCCCCAAGATCTTGTGGTCGGAGGTTTCTTGTGGTAACAGACGTGTTTGCTGGCCTGCCATTTTTCACAATCTGGCTCCAAGAGGTTTTTTTCTTCACCATCATTTTGACTCTAGAAGATGGAGAACCAAAAGAAAATACACATAAATAGACTGAACTGTATCGTTGATTCTTGTTTTACGGAAAGCAACAAGAAGTAAAACTCTTTAGGAATCACCAACATTATTTTCAAGAGATGAGTTCTTTTGGGTGTTAATGGAATAAATCATGATTTTTTCAGAACTCGCGCAATCAAATCACATTACTGAAGCGCAATGTAGAACAAAAGCAACTGAGCCCTATTCCTTGACGACTCATATGCAGAACAAAGAAAAAAACAAGAAATGAATCACGAGTTAGTGAACTCAAAAGGAGTATCAACATGAACTCCAGTTCGATCAATGTCTCAGTAAATGGAATCCGTACAAAGCCCACACTTCTTGTGGGGCTACAGGGCAAAATCAATGATGGAATCAAACAAAGTACATCAATCTAGTGACAGGGCAAAGACCACTACACATGCAAGATTAATGAAGCAGCGACGGGACCAACTTGAAGTCGATTCAAGAACGGACCACAGTTTGCTTGAGAGGAAAAAAAAAACATCACCAAATCACAAAAAAGAAAAAAAAACCTAATCTGTTCACGAATCGTTGCCCTGCTTACACACATACGCGTTCACCCAAACATGAACGGATGAACCAATCAAATACGCGTTCACCCAAAATCCACAAGAAGCACTAGCTCATTACCATCCAGTTCCTTTTCTTGCTTAGATTAAAGCACATAATCAAGCCTCAAAAAAACAAACATACACACGCGCACACAAAGAAACAAAAGAAAGAGGGGGAGAAAGAAATGAAAGAACAATGCGGTTTGGGAACAGTGGTACGGCCACGTACCTTGGGAGGAAGATTCGATCGGCGCGGCTGCCAAAAAACAAAACAAAAACAAAAACAAAACCCACCCGGCCACCACCGCTACTGTTCCATGGAGAAGAAGAAGAAGAGGAGGAGACGATCGCGCTGCACTGAACTAGGATGAGGAGGAGAAGGAGGAGTGTTTCTTGGTTGTTCTTGTTCCTCCTCGAGGGCTTCACGAGAATATGCTTCGATGTGAAGGAGGAGGAGGAGGAGACGAGGAGTGAATTGAGAGGGGAGGTGGTGGGTGTAAAAAGGTGGTGCCATATTTTTTTTTACTGTACTGTACTACTGTGCCTGCGTGTCAGGATGGATGGTAACTACAGCAAGCGAACCCAGGAGGGGAAAGGTGGGGCCCACCGTGCAGTGAGACAGACACGTCACGGTTTCCGCCCCCAAAAGAGGGAGAATGGGTAACCCTCTCTACTCCCGTATGGGGTCCATGGACCAGTCTAAAAAGACCCAAATTTTTTGGAACATAAATTTAAATGCAATTTTAGATAGATTTCTTTTTACTCATCATGGTATCAATCATGAAGATGAAAACATTGCAATAGAAACGGTGTACTCCCTCCGTCCAAAAAAAAAAAAGTAAATCATGGGTTTCCATGTCGAAGTTTGACCATCCGTCTTATTTGAAAAAATTATAAAAAAAATAAAAAGATAAGTCACGCATAAAGTATTAATCATATTTTATCATCTAACAATAATGAAAATACTAATTATAAAAAAATTCATATAAGACGGATAGTCAAACATTGGACACGGAAACCAGGGTTTGTCTTTTTTTTTTTGGACGGATGGAGTAGAAGGAAACCTCCCCTAAAATTGACCTTAGAACCAAAATTTCTAAAATTCAAAATGAGATGTCGATTTCTAGCTTGGTACTCTTTGGTTTGGACTTTTGGGAGTATTGGCCTTGGTCGGCAGCCAGTTTTGTTGCAGCCGCTGTGACTACAGCGGTTGAAAATCACTGCAGCTTATAGCCGTTTTAAACTGCTGCTGCCGCTGCCAAAAAATTTCTTCCGAACACGGCTATTAGCATCATTGGACTGAACACATGCATGCATATGATATCTTCTAGTACCAATCAAGAACCAATGCTAAAAATTTGGAAGTTTTTCAGTAGCTCAAAAAAAAAACAGACAGGACCATTTTTGACATTGCCTTTTCAATATGACGCAAAAATGATTCGTGCAAGCAACTACGCATGTGCGTTGGCCGGGCGGAGATCCTGCATCCTTTTACCATCTCGACTAGTAATTAACCAAAATCAACAATCCTGTAGTCACACCAAAATCAAGTTGAGCCGTACTGATTAACTGGGACAAGTACCACATGTTCAGCAACACACACGCAGAAACTGTTCGCGAAATCAAATTGCACAGTAAAGAGATGATCATGTTGACAGCAAAAAAAAAAAAGATTGGGCATCAAAAGCTCGGAGAAAGATGCAAGTGTCAGGATCCTAGTTAATGTTAACACTATGGAAAGCAAGCAAAGCGTTGGAAAGTGGGGCCCCACCCAAACAGAAGCGCAGACACGACGCAGTTTCCATTCCAGGCATGGTGGGAATAGAGAGAGAGAGAGAGAGAGGAGATAAGCCAAGCCAGCATCCAAAGTCTCCTTTTTAGCTGCTATTGCATTGCATCCATGGACCAGTTCTGTGTCCACCGATTCAGTTTTCCTTCTGTTTTTTTTAGAACATTCCCTGTTGCTTATCTTGTAATTTAGCTGCTCATTAGCATAGCTGTTCATGCCTCCATTTGGATTAGATCCTAGCATTGGATTGGAATGCTATGATCCATCCAATAGCATACAGAAAAACGAGCAGATTGATTATACGAAAATGGCATCGGTATATTTGCTGCAATAAATTTTTTTAGAAAAATATTTGGCTTGGAAACTCTGTAGAAAAAGAAGGTGACGTCAACCTCTAAGTGCTTTGACTGCTTTCCATCAAAGCATCACCAAACACCTATGATATGTTGCTGCATGTACGTACGTACCACTTTTCTACCGAGACGGCAACCAATGCTTCCTTTAATACTGCAAACCACCGTGGCAAAGATCTCAAAGTATGTCTTAGAGTTTTTTTTTTAATGCGTGCAGCCATATTAACAAGATAGTACTTCCTCTAAAAAAAACTAGATATAGTATTGGTCATGAATTTGATTAAAAAATGATTTTGTTTCTCCACTTTATATATACTAGGTGATTTTCTGTACGTTACTATGGAATTTCTAGGTAATACTCTAAAGTAAAACTTTCTGTCGGGCTTTTCTCAGGGTTAAGTTTGTTAGCATAAAACATGTTATAAAGTTGTTTTTCAGAAATATAACAAATAGAATAGTATTTCTGTTGGAATATGAGAACACGCTAAATGTTGTGCTTATTTCTCAACAAACGTGCTAAGTACGTGTAGATAGGAAGTAAATAAGTAACTGAATCTGAATTCTGAAATAAACTGCTAAAACGTTAAAATGAAATCCAATGGATGATAAAATGACAATGACATGGCTTAATGCAGTGGCTCTTTTTATATGTGTAATTGTACCAAAGTGTCTTGTAAAAAGAAAAATGTCTACCGATTTCTTGGTTTGACCGTTTCTTTCCCATCTCCATTCAGGCTCTGTAAGAGCAAGTTTAATAGAATAGCTAACTCCTAATTTCAAATCATTTATAGGGTTTGTTTGGATCCTTCGGGCTATTAAATAGCCATCCGGATCCAAACATGCCCATAGTCAATCTAATAGCTAATTCATACTTAAAAAATACAATAGTTAACTACAAATATATACTACATCATTAATAATTGGTCCCGCATATCATACACACATAATGTATTGGAGTTCGTGTTGCAGCTGGCTACAAATTTATAAGAGCAGGTACAATAGCAGGCTATATGTCAACTATAAACACATATCGAGGAGATGAAAGAAGACAGAGATGAGCAGCGGACTACAGATTTGTAACCAACTATAGCACGAGCTTCAAGACGAAATGTATATATGACAGGTGAGACCATATATTAATAGTGTAGTATACATTTATATGTTACTATTATATGAATTGTCTGCAGGTGATTTGGAGCCAGTTGTTGGCTATACTATTAAACTTGCTCTAACATGCTTCTCTTCTCTCTCTCATCTCTTATCTTCTCCACATAAGTTTGTAGTCGACTTGTAGTTTATTATTGTACCTACTCTAATGGACACTTCGTTAGACGATACAGTCGCCTGCCGCCGCACTGCTGTCACCGCTCTTTTAGAAGAACACCGGCCTAGAGGGGCCTGCAGCGATTTTTTTTTATTTTCCCGAACCTTTCTATTTTATCTTTAATTTTAAAGAAATCTTTTAAAATTTATTTTTATTTTCAACATCTGAACCTTTTAGCCATACTAGCTGAACTAGCGTGGCAAAACAACACTATCACATTATTCTAGCTAACGTGACATCGTTATTTAGTCACACTGGTCTAGTTGGCGTGGCAGTTTTATCTAAGTGACGTGGTAGGATAAAACTATCATAGCTGTTGTATGTGGTGCATGAGTATTGTTTTGCCACGAGAGAGCTGACATGGCCAAAAGGTTCATATGAAGTTTTGGTTGGATTTATATTTATAACTTTTTAAAGTTAAAATAATAAAAAATTTGCCTGCAGCGACACCGTGCCACTGGTGAGCATCACGTTCACGGCCGGCCTCTGCTCCGGGTTCTCCTGTACGTAGGGCAGCCCGACATGGACGCACCGCGCGATCGATCTGCCACCCCGCCTACGCTTGCTCGCTCATCGGCCGGTCCACCACCGCGGCGATGTCCCACAAGGTTCAGTGCTCCCAAATCTGCGTCAAGTGTTCGTAGCTTCTTGAGTGGTCACAGATAAAGTGGCATGTGTTAATCTATATTGAGGCGAGTGGATCGCTGGGGCGCTCACGATGCTTAGCAGATCGGCGGATTGCATTGCTCCAAGTTGTAGGAGCCGCTGTTTCTCTTCTTCGTCGTTACGATCTACAGGATCAGGACGCTGGGGTGAAAGTGGGACGGGTTGTGGCGCCCCGCATCGCATCGACTGCAGAAGTCCCACGCGGGCCAACGGGCAACCAGTCCCGCACTGAACTGCGGGAATTTTCTGTCAACGGGTGTCGCGGGTTAGTCTTAGAGCAGATATAATAGTCAGCTATAAATATATTTTAATGAGATAAAAAATAAGAGAGAAAAGCAGCGGGCTACAGATCTGTAGCCAGCTGCAGCACGGACTCCAAGACGCAATATGCGTATGACAGGTGGGACCATATGTTAATAGTATAGTAAGCAACTATTTTATTAATTGGCTATTAGATCAGTTATAGATAAATTGGAGTTAATAGTGGGCTATACTATTGAACTTGCTCTTAGCTAGCCCGCAACGTGAAATGAACGAACAGTTCAGACAGACCAACAATGATCCCCGATTTATTTAAATGCAATTAAGACTGGCAGGAATGGACCAGGCAGGTGCAGGAATCGAACCACTTGGAACAATGCAAGCCAATCAATCAAATGGAAACAGCAAACACCAACTAATCTTCCTCTGGAAAATAATACGGGAGGAGCTGCGGTAGCGACGGCGGCGACCACGCCCTCCAGGGCGAGGAGGCGCTTGACGAGGCCCTCGGCGAGGAGCGCGTCAACGATCTCCTTGCGGCCGTAGTAGCCGACGCGGAGGGCGAACTCCAGCGCGAGCGTGCGGATGCGGGGGTCGGCGGAGCAGAGCAGGGAGACGAGCCGGGGGAGCTCGCCGCGCGCGTGGAGCTCGTCCACGAGCGGGCTGCGGATGGCGGCCACAAGCCCGTTCAGCGGCGCAGCAGCGCCGGCGAGGCTGAGGCGGACGCGGACGCGGACCCGACCAGCGCGCCGACGGCGCGCCCCATCAGCACCGGCCCGACGAACACGTCCTTGTTGAAGCGGACCAGCACGAGCACCGCTGCGGCGCAGCCGTCCCCGAAGCCGGGGTCCCCGAGCTTCGCCTCCACCACCGCGAACACGCCGTGCCGCAGCGGCACGCGCTGCAGCCGCGGGTCGAACCGCTCGCCGCCGGCGCTCGCCCAGCCACGCGGCCACGCCCAACGCCAGCATCACAGAGAAGGACAGAGAAGGGGTTAATATGACATGTGGGCCATATGTTATTTTCTTTTATTTTTTGCTGATTGGATTTCCACGTCAGCGCCACGTGTATACCACGTAGGACTAAAAC